ATGTATTAAAAAGTGTATTCAATTGCTGATGTAAGCAAAATAAATATATTATATATCGAAACGATGTCTATTTTTTTCCCCGCTCATATTTCCTTCTCTCTCTCTCTCTCTCTCTCTCTCTCCCTATTCGCATCCTCTCCCTCGCATATAGCCCTACGTTGTCGCTCTTCTTCTTATTAACTACTTGGGAAGGGAAGATAGAATGGATTGGAAGAAAATGTATGTCATTAAAAAATTTTTAATCTCAATTTATCAAAATACATCACCCCGACTTTTGGCTTCGGCAAGAATTTCTTTTACGGCATAAGCCATTAATTCGCACTTTATGATCGAAATAAATTCACAATTTTCGATTGAATTTTTATAGTACATGTCGTGTAGGATTCTAACTGCATCGTTCGGTGTATCACATTTTTTTTCGCCACTCATCCATATATCTTGTAAACGCACAACGAGTTCTTCGAAGATTTCATGTACTGTTTCTAGATCATCACACAGTTCAAAATATATGCGATCTACACAGTGTTCCAGTTCAAATAAAAATGATATGGTTGATGGTTTCATGTACATAGAAGTATTATTTGATGTTACTTTTACAATATTTCCGTGGCGCGTTCTAACTAGTTCTAGAGCTAAATTATTAAGCTGTACCGCTGATGATGATGCCGCATCTGTTGCCTTTAGCAGCTGGTCTATTTTTGATGGATTTTCTCTCTATTCTTTCCAAAATTGATCTAACTCCATCCGATGTCCTTGATTATCGCCGAGAATTATTTCTACGTAGGATGCACGAGGTACTACTCTGATCCCAATATCTATATATTTGAATGCTGCAGATGTCAGCGGTAACCTCCTGCACATGATACGCGGTGGGTTATGAGGTTCATCAGAACTGAAAGAATAGATAAAGTAAAATAAATACAATTATATGTGGAAAAATGTGTGTAAATATGTAGTAGCTTTATGGTACTTACACGTCACCGCACAGTTTCTTGCTCGATGCAGTTTCATCTTGAGGAACGGATGGCGTATAACTGCTTCGAGGAACATACGGCATGTAACGCCGATTGCTAAAACTATTTGAAAAATACAATTAAATGTGGAAAAAATGTATGCAATATATATGCAATATATAACTTTACGGTACTTACGCGTTACACTGTTTCTTGGACGACATATCCAGAGGAACGTAATGATTCATTCTTCTAACACTGTACTGGAAACACCGGAGAAATCGACTCACTTCGACGGCGACGACTGAAACTCTGAGGGCGTCTTTACTAGTTGAAGTCCCAGGAAAACTTTTAACTTACCCCACCCTTAACCCTACATCTTCCCCCGCCCACTCACCTAACCGTAATATTTAAAAGAATTTTAATCCTCCCATTATTCTGTTTACTCTATAGAAAATCTGCCGCACCGTCGGGC